ATCAACTACACAACTGAGGAGTTGACTGGAATATTCCGGATGAGTAGAGTTTCGCTTGAATCTTTGCCAGTGGGTCTTGAAATTTGAATGAAGAGCTTCTGTTGCTTGCTCACTGAATACACCTAGACCAACCTTGTGCTGATGAATGAATTGTTGAACGTGATGAAAAACAGCATGTGCCTTTGGTGTGACTGAGACTGGTAATTTCAAGTAGTTATCTTTGAAATCACAAATTTTTGCCTCATAATCTGGCAACAGAGTGTATCCAAAGCATGAAACCACAACCTAGTGAAATGAGCTCAATGCTTGGCATGCCTTTGTTGCATCTGGTGCTTTTTCAGCAATTGTCAATTGCATAAGCTCTTCAATTTTCCTCAGCACTTTCATGCAATCTTTTCCATTGAAGTGGCCACCATGAAATGGTTGCATCTGAATGTGGATTGAATCCAACCGTTGTTTGGTCTTTGGAAAAACTTGAACCAAGTACTTGATGAGGTGGTTGACAACTCCCAGGAGCAAATGCAGTTCCATGGGTGGGATTGCCTCAAGGATCAATTCCCTGTCTGGAAAGGCAAACATTGGCAAATGAACCACATTTTCAAACTCTTTTGATCTTTTGGCATCACAACCAGACTTCACAAATTTTTTGTACAAGTCTCTGATGCCCCCTAATGTTCTAAGTTGACCACAGTTTTCCAAATGTGCTGAGTCTATGTTGCACCAACAGCAAGGATGCTTACTGCTGTGTGACTGGATTCCACAAACTATGTTTGCAAGCTTCATGTCACAAGAAATAACAAGTTTTTCTGAAATGGAGATTTCATTGACTTGGAGAAGATCCAGAATGTGCTTAACATTTGGGTAAGTCTCTGGTGTGTTCTCTGAAATAGCAACAATCAGTTGTTTTTGAACACTTGTGTTTTTGAAGTTGTCTTTGGTGATCAATTTTGATTTCTTCTGAACAGAACTGTGAGGTTCTCCTTTATGCTCACTGATAAGACTCAAACTTGCCTTAAAGAATGATCCTCCACCATCAATGCCAAGCTTTAAGAAGTTTGAGTTTTGCAAGCCTCTGGATGAAACAATATTTTCTTTGAGGGTTTCCAAATTTGTGCAGTGAACAATATGGCGTGTTTCATTTGATTCTGGTAACTGTGAAGTGGTTACTGTAAAGAAACTTTTGAGGGTAGTTCCAGCTGCAGCAAATTTTTGTTGAAAATTGGCCTCAACTATGCGAACAGGACTTATTTGATTTAAAGCTGACCCAAGCTTTCTCATTCCATTGTTAGAAAGTCCAATGTTTTGCTGAATATTAATCATATCTTGTGTTGTCAATGGCTCTGAGGAGAGACCCTGAGTTGCATTTGATCCTGTGAATAAAGAAACAAATAAGAAAAAAACCAATATTAAAAAGCAAACCCAGCAACAATACTTTAACATACCTGGTCTGATTTCAAGAGGCTTTCCATGAAACCGGCTAATCAGAATAGTTCCATCGGAAGATACCTCTTTGGAAGAAACGATGAATGATGCAATTTGCTCTGCCCCTAACGGATCTGCCAATGCCAGAGCTTTCAAGTTTTCACGACGTGTTGCTTCTTTGCAGTTATGAGGCAGTCCTCGAGCAATGACAGATAGGCATTTTGTGCATCGTTTTTCAAAAGATTTTTCTTCTTTTTGCACTTCTTGCTGAGATGGTTTTTCAAAGGGGTGCTTTCCTTTCCCTTTGGTTTTTGAAATTTGACAAATGATGCAATCACATTTAGTTGTCTGGCGAGTTGATGGTTTGATCAATATGGATTCGAAGTCATAAAGTTGAGGTATACTCACTTCTTCATCTCCAGAAGCTAACTTTCTAAGCAGGAACCTACAGGTGACACAGATCCCTCGTGGAACCCTCTCATCATCAAAGTTGATGTTGCCAGAAATCAATCTTTTGATTTCACTGATGAAATATTCTGAAATTTCTCTGTCACTTTTTTTCATACATAGTGTGCAAACGACCTGCCGACATTGATTATGATCCTTTGAAAAAGTAGGCATTTCAAAATCTGAGATGAACTTGTGATTTGTTTGAAGATATCATTTAAACTAATTCATAAAGTACAAAGAGGTCATAAAACGTATGAAAATGTACTAAAAGTACAAAAAGTCCGTAAAATTGGAAATGTCCGAAGAGTACAAATTTTAGGAAAGTACAAATTTACGGCAATTCACGTATCAAATTTTTCATCGTAATTCGCGATTCAAAAATTAATCGATTCAAAACTTGAAATAAAAATATCTCCCCTTATAGCTCATTTCTCAAAAAAATTTATTAAATACGAAATCTTTACAAATTAATTGTCTAAAAAAGTTTTTTTATTAAAAAAATCACTACGACCCACCCCAATACCGCTATTTTCAAAAACAAAAACTGCTAATGTTTTTATATTATTTCAAAAATTTAAATCAAAATATCTCTCTCGGATTTTAATTTTGGATTTCAAAGTAAGTTGATATAGTATTCTTGACATGTGTAGTTTGATACCCTAAGAGGATTTTTTCGGGATGTTTCGTAACCAAAAAAGTCAAAATTTTCAAACGGTGTCTGGAAACTTCTGGAAGCTTCTGCATGCTTTTGGAAACTTCTGGATACTTCCTTTAATTATTGAAAAACTTACGTGACGTTGACACGGACAAGACTTAAGAAAATGAAACAAACCAAAAAAGTTGCACTTGTTTTGTCCGCTGCAAAATGGCACTTGTCAACGAAATTCTGCCTGTGTACTGACACTTGTCAGCTGATTGCTCATGTCATGGCATGCTATGATTCCAGACTCCTGAACTGTTTGCTGTAGTAGTATAGTTCCTTTCGTTTTTAAGACATGTAAAATTATGAACACTTTTTAGCATTGTTCGATATGTTTTGTCCAATACTATATATATATATATATATATATATATATATATATATATATATATATATATATATATATATATATATATATATATATATATATATATATATATATATATATATATATATATATATATATATATATATATATATATATATATATATATATATATATATATCAATTGGATATATATATATATATATATATATATATATTTATATATCAATTGGATATATATATATATATATATATATATATATATATATATATATATATATATATATATATATATCAATTGGATATATATATATATATATATATATCCGATCCAGGAATTTTTTGTTACTTTTTTATATTTATTATTAAAATTTGTACTGAATAAAAGTTCATATTACGATATTTTATCTTATTCATTGTAACCGAATCAGTTTATTTTATAATTATGCATTTGTTAATTTTTAATAAAAGAACAAAGTCCTAAGATATCTTAGAAACTAATGACCTTTTTTTTTAAGGCGACGCAAATATGGTACAAAATATTTCAACACCCCTTCACTTCCCTACCCCCACAAAAAATTCCTGGATCGGATATATATATATATATATCCGATTGATATATATATGTATATATATATATATATATATATATATATATATATATATATATATATATATATATATATATATATATACATATATATATATCAATCGGATATATATATATATCCAATCCAGGAATTTTTTGTGGGGGTAGGGAAGTGAAGGGGTGTTGAAATATTTTGTACCATATTTGCGTCGCCTTAAAAAAAAAGGTCATTAGTTTCTAAGATATCTTAGGACTTTGTTCTTTTATTAAAAATTAACAAATGCATAATTATAAAATAAACTGATTCGGTCACAATGTATAAGATAAAATATCGTAATATGAACTTTTATTCAGTACAAATTTTAATAATAAATATAAAAAAATAACGTTGTTAAAAGAACGTAGAAAACTTGCATAAGACAATGGGTCTTGTCATCAAGAAACTTGACTCAATGCGTGGGTATTGCTTGTGTCTCTATTTTTATGACTGGGCAACTCATTCTATTATCTCCTAATGAGGGTACAGCTCTAAAACTCAGATTTATGGTTCTGAGGCCGGCTGGTAGTTAGGTTTCCCGAACTCTGTGTTAGCTCTCAGAGAGGCTGATTCCATCAACAGCCGAAAAATATCAGAGTACTAACAGTGCCATGTTGCGCATGGATGGTGTCCCTGTTCGTACTTTTGGTGTGCATTGCAGAGGTCACATTTGGAGCCCTTTGTTACGGCTTAGGGTTTATTAATAGTAATGAGGCTATTGCTTAGTTGTTAAATAGTGTACTGAGTACTATCTATACTTAAGTCAAGTTCTTTATAAATTTAAAATGACTAAAGTACCTAAAACTAATAAACACAAAAACCATTGTCATCACCAAGTTCTCTAAACCTATCATTTACTAATATTCGTGGACTTCGAAGTAACTTTTCTTCTGTTGAGTCTTATCTCTTGCAAAGTTCACCAGACCTACTTGCTCTTTGTGAGACTAATTTGAGTTCGGCTGTCCCATCTTGTGATCTTAGTGTTGATGGTTATCTTCCTTTAATTCGTAAAGACTCCAATAATCACATGCTTGGCCTGGGCATCTACATTCGTAAGAACTCACCCATTTGTCGTGAAACTAGGTTTGAATCTACTGACTATTCTTTTATGTGCTTTCGTTTAGCACCACTTCATTCTATCGTCTTACTCTTTGTTCTATATCGCTCTCCTTCATCCCAAGATTGCACTATTCTCGATGTTATTTCTGATCAAATTGACCAAGCCCTCTCTCTTTATCCATCGGCCAATATCGTCGTTGTTGGTGACTTTAATGCCCATCACACTGATTGGCTTGGCTCTAGTGTCAGTGACTCTGCTGGCGTTAAGGCCCTCAACTTTTGTCTTTCTCAATCTCTAACTCAAATAGTCAACTTTCCAACTCGCTTTCCAGACAACCCTAATCATTTACCTTCTCTACTTGACTTATGTCTTGTTTTGGATCCTAGTCAGTGCTCAATTTCTCCACATTCACCCTTAGGTGCTTCTGATCTCTGTTTGATCTCTCTAAAACTATTATCAAATTCTTCTACTTCATCAGAATCCCCCTATCATCGTACCACATACAACTACCTTAAAGCTGACTGGGACTCTTTCCGTGATTTTCTTCGTGATGGCCCTTGGGTAGAAATCTTTCGTCTTCCTGCTGACAAATGTTCTTCTTACATAACTTCATGGATTCAGGCTGGAATGGAATCTTTTATTCCCTCTCGACGATTCCAGGTCAAGCCTCACTCTTCTCCTTGGTTTTCCTCACATTGCGCTGCAGCAATTTCTAATCGAAACCGTTACTTCCATATCTATCAGCAAAACAATTCTCCAGAAAACAGACATCTGTTCACTATCGCCAGAAACCATTGTAAAAAGGTTTTGTCTGACGCCAAAGCTCGCTATTCCCAGGTCATTAAATCTCGTATCTCATCACAAAAATTAGGCTCTCGAGACTTCTGGAGAATCTTTAACAGTATCAATAATAAGGGCAAATCTGTTATTCCTTCTCTCTTGTATGGTTCAGACTTTGTCACCTCACCTAAAGACAAAGCTGAATTGTTTGCTAAGAACTTTTCATCAATATCATCTCTCGATTCCACTAGTTGCGTTCTACCTGACATAGCCGTCAAACAGGTTGATCCCTTGCTTGACATTCGCATCACTTCAGCTTCTGTATCAAAAGTAATTTCCTGCTTAGACTCTTCAACAGCTTGTGGTCCTGACAACATTCCTGTTGTAGTCTTGCAAAAGTGTTCTCCGGAGCTTTCATCCATACTTTCAAAACTATTTAACAAGTGCTTATCAGAGTCCTGTTTTCCATCATGCTGGAAAGCAGCATCTGTTATCCCTATTTTCAAAAATTCCGGAGAGCAATCTGATTCATCTAACTACCGTCCCATTAGTCTTCTTCCTGTCATAAGCAAGGTTTTTGAATCTTTAATCAACAAACACTTAATCTCTCATCTTGAATCAAATAACTTACTTTCTGATCACCAATATGGATTTCGATCTTCTCGTTCTACAGCTGATTTGCTAACAGTAATAACCGATAGGTTTTACCGTGCATTAGATAGAGGTGGAGAGGTTAAGGCTATCGCACTTGACATTTCTAAAGCATTTGATAAAGTTTGGCATGCTGGTCTTCTCCATAAACTTTCTTCTTATGGTGTATCTGGTAACATCTTTAAGATTATTGAGTCCTTTCTTTCCAATCGTAGTATAAAAGTTGTCCTTGATGGACAACACTCTTCTTTATATCCTGTAACTTCAGGGGTTCCTCAAGGTTCAATCCTTGGCCCTATACTCTTTTTAATTTACATTAACGTTCTCCCAGATATTCTCACATCTAAGGTGGCATTATTCGCTGACGACACTACTATTTACTCTTGTCATGATAAGAAGCCTACATTCTCTGATTGCCTGGAGGGGGTATCTGAGCTTGAAAAGGATCTCACTTTTGCTACAGCATGGGGCTCACAGTGGCTGGTGAACTTTAGTTCAGATAAAACTCAATTTTATTCGGCCAATCGTTATCGTAATAATTTAGATCTTCCTATATTTATGAATGGTAATGTACTAGATGAGTCATCTACCATTCATCTTCTAGGATAAACTCTTACTTCTGATCTTTCTTTTAAACCGTATATCAAATCCATTGCAAAATTAGCATCTGCTAAGGTTGCATCTCTTTATCGAGCTCGACACTTTCTTACTCCAGATTCTATTCTCTATCTCTATTAATCTCAAATCCGTCCCTGTATGGAATACTGTTGCCACATCTGGGGCGGATCTTCTAATGATGCCCTTTCTCTTTTAGACAAGGTGCAAAAACGCATTGTAAATATAGTTGGACCTGCTCTGGCAGCCAATCTCCAACCTTTGTCACATCGTCGTGATGTTGCTTCTCTTTCTCTTTTCTACAAATACTATAATGGGCACTGCTCTAAAGAGCTAGCGTCTCTTGTGCCATCTACTAAAATTCATTCTCGTGTTACTCGTCATTCAATTAAGTCTCATCCTTTTTCTGTGACT